TGTATATATATATATACATATACACTGAGCTTTGAAATAATGTCTCATGTAAACATTTTTTAATAAATGAATTTGGTGCAATCAAATTGTATAATGCCATACTAACTACATGATGTGATAAATAATAAAAACTGAAGGAATGAATTATTAGGATTTTATTTTTTGTTTTTCAGATCAGTTGCACAAAGGAAATCTTTTCACACTTTTCCTGCATAGTCCTCTGATGGCAGTGTGTTTTATATGCAATATCACTGACATTCCCATTGCATTATGGGAAAAAGGTCAAACACAAGTTGAGAGGTTTATGGGAGAAGCAAGCAGAGTGTTGACACGATCAAGAAATCTTGGTAAATTTTCATAAGAGTAGTTTTTTTAGGAAGAGACATTGACTGTAAACAATTTCTTTTGGTAGTCCAGGCATCAAGTATAATATATATATGCATGATACAGATGTAGGTTTCTTTTTCAGAAGAGTTTACTATGGTTCAGATGCTGTAGGTAAGCCTTTTTAAATATTTTTTTAGGAAGAGACATTGACTGTAAACAATTTCTCTTGGTAGTTCAGGCATCAAGTATATATATATATATACATGCATGATACAGATGTAGGTTTCTTTTTCAGAAGAGTTTACTATGGTTCAGAGGCCATAGGTAAGCCTTTATAAATATTTTTTTTAACACAAATTTATCCCAGAAGCCTGTTTTAATCATCAGAAACCTATGGTTGAAGACTGTTTTATTGTGAACTTTTTATGGCTACCAAACATCATTTATTCGGAATTCCAGTTAAATTCAGTAAGTGCCGAACACAGGTGTTTTTTTTTCTCAGAAATATACAATTTATCTCTTGTGTACAGTTGTATAGTATTTTTTCACCAACCAGAAATGTATTTCATAACTAGATATTCATAATATAAAAATTGTATTTTCTTAAAATTCACATATCATTAAGAGTTACATTTACAAAAAATTGTACACATTTAGATTTGTGAATAAATTAGGGAATGTTGTTATTATTTATTTTTGCTTCAATTTAGATTTATAAGGATATTTTTCTCTTTTTATTTACATTAATATTAGGATGTATATTATTTGCATTTGTTTCACATTTAAGAATTGCAAAATGAAATGTTATTTTTTCACTTAGATCCTGCATATCTGCAATTTTATGGAGATGATTTTCTTCGATTATTAATGCTTCGGTTCATTTTCTGTCATGTAGTAATGAAATTGCATCGATTGTTTAGGGTAAGTTTTCAAAAACTTTGAGTGAAATTGCTTGGCTTACCACTACCCTGTAAGTTAAAGAAACTTCAGGTTTAGACAGTTATAAATAATATTACATAATATTATTACTTAGTCAAACTGAGTTTTTAGAACACAGACAAAAATTATAAGCATACTATCTGATGTTATTGTGCATTTTTGAGACAGTTCTGTTTAGTTTTCAGTTTCTTCTTTCATTTTCCTTATTGAGTTGGACTTGCGTGTTAAAAAGAAATTTCAGTGTTACAAGTAAACAGTTTTTAAAAAAATATTGAAGTTTACAGACAAAAATAAAATAAGGATGTCAGCCACGAATCTTGTTTAACTCTTACGATGTTCACAATCATAATGACTTTTACAAAAAAAAAAAAGTATTTCTAGGGTACAAGATACGTTCTCTAACATAATACATTTTATATTTAATTTGTTTAAATTCTTTCACTTGAAAGCTTAGTGTAATGTTTGACCTGAATTAAATTCAGATAGAAAACTGTGCTTCTAAAATTAGTTAATTTTGTTATACAAAACAAAGAAATAACTTTTGTGTACAAAACACAAAACAAAAAAAACAAAACACGAAAAAACATGCAGATGATCTTATGTTGTTAAGTAGTGGTGACACATGTATTGGAATAACATCTTTTAATGTAGAAATGCTTCAATCCAACAGCAGCCTAATGCTAATTCAAATGCATGTTTATTTTTAAACTGTCCACTATCCAAATATTTCTGAAAAAAATTTGTAGCTATGTAAAAAAAAACAAGTAACTTTTATTAAACATGCAACATTCCAGTTTCTCCAATCCTGCCGCTACTAAGTATTTAGATAAGTATGAGAAGTAGAGCAAAGCACCATATCTGTGTGATGAAAAAAGCTGGCATGTTATGGTTTTTAATTTTGTTATTCAGAGTAGTGTTAGTAGTCACTTCTCAAAATTAAAAGAAATAATGTAAAAAAGTCCTTGAGTCTGATAAATGTTAAAAAAATCTAAATTCGTCCAAATAATGGTGAAAAACTCACTGCCTAACTCGTATAGTGCTGACTGAAGTATAGATTGTATAATTAACAATATGAAAATTAAAGAAAAACTGAAATGTACCAATTCTTTTATTTTAGTGTCATTCGGAAGTATTCTGAAATATTTGTTGAAAACATATTAACCATGAGAGCTTGTATAGAGTGCTCTGAAAGAAGCTGCAATACTGTCTCATAATTGTTTTCATACTGTATTTTTTTTTTAGCTAATCACACTTTATGAATTTCATACCCATTTTTCTGAATTAGAAGTGAATATTGACATGATTTTGTTCAGTTGTACTATTTATGGAAGAAAAACATTAGCTTTAATAATTAATTCTCTTAATTTAGGGCCATAATGTTACTCCACGATCTCACCCACCAATTCCTGAAACAGAGGTGTTGGAACACCCAAATTTAAAACGTGCAGTTATGGATTTAGCAGCAACACTAGATGTGAGGTCCTTGTTTTTGGACATTGAAGAGGCTGACTGACATGCGGTTATGTTCACCTTGGCCTGAGGATTTATGGTTACCTCCCAGTGTTCATTTTGTGCTCATCATCCTCATCAGAAACACCTGCTGTATTGTTGTGTTGTGTAAACACTGCTTTCTGTTAGTCTAACAGGGTATGCTAATGATATACTGTGAATTGTAAGCTAATGTTACATTCCAACACCTCTTGATTTGTGAGCAAAAAGCTAAGTAAACTTTTACTTTTCAGTTTTTTCACTGTCTGTTTTACATATGACTTTTGATTTTGTTTTACTTTGAACTGTGGATTTGTAATGAATAAAAATTATTTTTACATTTTAGAGTAGGTCCTACAGACATAAAAGAAAAATTGTAGATTTTCATAATTTCAGTTAAATGATTGATTAACTTTAGCTAATAATAGTTTTTAACAACAGAAAAACAACAACATATATATATATGTAAGCACACAAATGTGGTTATATACAAATACAAAAAAAAAGTATATTTACGTAACCACACAAATGTGTGTGTGTATACAAATACAAAAAAAGTATACGTATGTAAGCACACAAATGTGTGATTATATACAAATATACAGGTTTTGCCATATGTTTATTTTCCAAAAACATTGGTTCTGGATCTTAGGTTGTTATTTTGCATATGAATAAATATTACTCTTAGTTTTGAAAAATAATATTTTAAAATTTAATATATGCATCGTTGGTTTTAGTTCAAGGGATAGGTCAGTAGCATTGTATATGGTCATTATTAGGAAGATCAAAGTGATTCTTGTAGCAACTAATGTAATTTTCTACTTGTTTTACTGTTAAACATTGCTATACAAGTTTCTTAGTATAATGACACGTAACTTTCTTTTTTAACTAGTTGTAATAAAGCTAAAAAAATGCAGATTATTATTGTTACAGACATTCTATGAAGATTTTTCATCTCTATAATTGCCCAATATAGACACTAAGAAATAAAATTCTCTAAGAGAAATATGTGGCAAAGTTTTGGCCAAAATGCTAAACATATATAATTCTCTTTCCCTTACAGCATTTTTAATAATTTTTCTTTATTACCAGATGTTATCAAGCTATTATTTCTGCATTTGTTTACTAGAAAAATGACAGTATCAGTTCAAGCAGTTCTAACTGATTATTCCATTGTATAAGCAGATTTTGATATAATTAAGTTGTTTTTGTTGTTGTGTGGATATTTTGAATATGCCAAAAGTGATTTATCTAGTCAAAAATATTTTGTTAATTTTCATTTTGATAGAAAAAAATTTTAAATGAATTAATGTTGTGTACTTGATGTTTACATTTTTGATCAAAACACTGTTTTTTAATGAACTGCATGAGAAACGATGTGTGATGTGTACATTGTGTTTGAATAATATTTTTTTTTTTTAGTTTAAATTTCAGACTCTTGTTTGAATGATAAGTTCCTGATTAGGTAGAGTTGAATTTGAGCTAGAGCTAAATGAAGTCGTGTTATAAGAAAATTTTAAGTAGATCATTTAGGAATTTAAAGCTTTTAATAGATAGACAAGCATATGTATATAATGATACATGTGTGCATTTTTCTTGTCTTGTTGATCTAGAGAAGGAATTAGTCATTCTCTCATTATTTTGGACTGAGAGAAATGAATACAGTTCAATCTTTTATTCCTTTGAGTTTAAAGCTTGCATAAAAAAGGAAAAGATTGGTCATAATATTGACCTTATTCAGGATCACTGTTTTATATAGTATTCTTTAAATGATTTGGGAATATGTGGGTGTTTATAAAGACTACTTTAAATGAGAGAAATCTAATATATTTTTGAACTAGTAAGGATTTCCATTTATCAAAGAAAATTTAATTTTTAGAAGTTTTTTTTTTTGAGCAGGTTAATTTTTTGTCAGTAGAGTTGAAACCTTGTTATTTTATTGTAAAAATTAAAAGCTATTAGTCAGAATATTCTAAAAATATAATATTTTTATTTGTTTGAAAGTATGTTTTTTAAATCAAAAAATGCTACTGATCTGTCTCGTCATATGTGTTTTTGTATTGATGAAATATTTCTGTAATCTGAGAAATTTGTTTTTATATTGTGACTCAGCAAAGGACCATTCTCAGCATTTATTTTCAGTCTTGTTAGTGATCTGTGTTGAAGTACTTGTGTTTAATATTACTTGCGAAACAAATATTTTCACATGGAACAAAAATTATTTCGAAGAGAAAGTCATTGAAGGAGGATTATATCTGGACATAATGTTGTATGAATCACATATAAATATAAGTACTTTTTTCATGAACTGTAGTGGTATTCTGAAACTCCTTTGCAATTTGAAATGTAGATTTGCAGTAGTATTTTTTACTTCTAGTAAATTATTTTTATTTCTACTATTTTCATGCTCATTTAGCAGGTTAACAGTACTAAAAATTATTTTATCTGTGATTAAAAATGTCATATATATTAGCTTGACTTCATTTTAACCCAAAATTTTAACCTGAACCAAACCCAAGTTCTGTTATTTTAATGTGAGAAGGAGGGAACCAGAAGGCTTTAGGCCTGGGTTGAACATTGTAACACAACAAAACAAAAACTTGGCTTTTATGGAGGGTGGAAAGCAAATCACAGTAAAGCTTTATCTCACCTCTTGCAAAAAAAAAAAACAAAAAAACAACAATTTTGAAAGATTTGAATACTATGACTTTAAGATTGCAGTTATCTCTTTTTGCAGTTGAAAGTGTGGTGTATGGTTTCTTATTCATTCATACTTTCAAATAGATATCCAGTATTTGGTGAAAAGCATGTGATACAAATAGCATGCATATTCTTTGACCTAGATGTACCAGGATTGTTTGGAGGTTTTGTTACATGAAGCTCATTCATATTTGACCTCTCTACAGTCTTCCTGTACTTTACTTTCAAAGCCTAGTTAGTTTCTAATGTTACACATGTTTCCATGCAGGGTGTGAATCAATGTATGTGTATATTATATATATATATATATATTAACCCTTTTCCTTTCATAGGTTGCTAATTCATTATAACTATTTTTTCTGTTTGCTATAAAATGCTAAAATTTGAATACAATGACCTTATAGTCTGTATATTTAGAAAGCAAAGTATTTTATGAAGTATATCTCAAACAGAAATAGTTAGCATTATTGAATGTAGTTTAGGAATTTTAAAATATTTGATTCATAGCATATTGCAGTAGATAGTAATTCTTATAGTGGTTTGTAAAGTACACGTACATCTATTAAAATCATCAATGACATAAAGTTTACAGTGTTTCACACTCTTCAGCACATCTTTTTTGACATTTACTATAAAAATAATTTTAGAATAGCTTAGCTTTTAGCTCTAGTCAGTCAACTTTCAGCTCTTGCCAAAGTAAAATGATAGTTACTTATTAATTTTTTTGTTTGTAAACTACTAAGTACATTTATTAGTTTTAAACTAAAAATTATATTTGCCTTTGGAGTATACAGTAAACAGTTTTTCACTATATATATTAAAAAAAATGAGAGGTTTGAGTATTTCGGGTTATTCTCTATGAATTGAAGACATGGTATAGAGGTACTGTGTATTTCTAACTGCCCAAGGGAAGAGGGGTTAACAAAATTAAAGATTGCTTATTATTTTACAAGTGGGTTTCATATAAAACATTTTAAGCATTAAATTTTTGCTGTAATCAGTATAACAAGGTGTAATATTCATTGTTAATTATACATATTCATAAGAAGGGAAAAAAAATCTTTTGTTACTGCATTTGAATAGAGGGTTAGTTTTATTTATGGGATATTTTCATGAAATTTACTACTGAAATTCTCCCTGCTATAAATAGTTCTACAGTCATGTGTAATACTGAAAGTTTGGATGTTTACCAAAAGGTTTTTTTTTTAATAATATTATTCTTATTATTCATTTTAATGTTTCTTTAAAGACAGTGTTAAAACACTTTTGTTACTTATGATTTTGAACCATGTTTTAGTTTTTTTCTGACATTTATCAGCAAACTTTACTCTTCATTCAAACCTTACTATTTGTGTATGTACAACTAAATTGGTATTGTTAGTGCTAAAGGTTTGAGTCTTGTTGTTTGACTTCATCCTTTTGTCTTGATGTGCCCTGATGTTGGCTGAGAGTCAGTACAGGTAATACTCAGACAAACCTGAAAACAAACCTATCAAACAGGTCTGTATATTTCATTCACGCTGTATACAGTGTTATCAATATTAAATCATTTTTGTCAGTATCACGTCTTTTAGTGTGCCTTTATTTCTTGTATCTTATAACAACCACACATTATATTGGGTATAACACGTATATGTTTATATTGACTTATGCGGACATTATCAATAAGTATAGAACTGATAACAACTACAAAGTCAATTATCTTTACACACATATATATATATATATGTGTGTGTGTGTGTAACCTGCCTTATCTAAGCCTAAACGATTTCATAGAATCATGAGTTATCCAATCCGTTATATTCAAATTACCACATAGCAACGTATATTTAAAAACATCCAACAAATATAAAAATACTCTAACTTATTTCATTTTACAGAGCAACTACTATGAAAAATAAAATAGCATTAGCGGTAGCAAGATTGTTCAGAAGTAAATAAATTAACACCATAATTACAAAAATTATCGTGATTGGTTTACGAAACAATAGTAGATACTTCATAAACAATTACGTTATTTCATATTGTGAACGCGCACGTTTTGCTAGAAATTACCATTGACGTTGATATACAAGTGAATCTATTAAATTATAATACTTTTGCTTAAAAGTTTAAACAGTAGGACAAAGATTTAGAACTCAATTTGTGCATTTTTTTCTACATGTGTTGCTACTGCTACACAAAATGAACAACATTGTTCAAAATTGTGAAGTGTTAAAACTTCTAGGTTTAGAACATGACTAGTCACAATATAGCAATCAACCAGAACTTTATAATACTTTAAGAAGAAAATTGTTATTTATTCTAAAAAGGGAGTAAGTTATTTTTCCAAGATAAACTTAAAGTAAATTCACATCATGCTTCTAATATTTACTAAGAGAACCTATTAATTTGCAGTGTTAAGCGAGAAGGAAGGTTATCCAGCTAGAATTTTGTATCGAAACCAAACACTTCGACCCAGGTGGTTAGAGCGCATGCCTCGTAATCAGAGCGTCGCGGGTTCGAATCTCCGTCCCACCAAACATACGCGCTCTTTCAGCCGTGGGGACGTTATGATGTGACGGTCAATCCCACTACTCATTGGTAAAAGAGTAGCCCAAGAGTTGGCGGTGGGTGGTGATGACTAGCAGCCTTCCCTCTAGTCTTTGACTGCTAAATTAGGAACGGCTAGCGCAGATAGCTCTCGTGTATGATGAATTCAAATAATGCGCTAAAATGTGTTTGTTTCTGTTGTCCGAGCCGAATTATCAGGAAAATGATTATTGTCTGCGTTTTATATTTATACTGAGCTGCAAGCTAACGTTTTTTAGATTTCCATGGTTTGTTATTTTTAAAAGTGACTATTATTCATGTTTATTATACCCAGTAAAACCTGATGTTGCATCTTAACCACTGCTAAAATCGCATATTTTTGTATGTTTCTTTAATTTGACTTGTGTAATATCAGTTAATTGCCGCAAATTCGCCATTTTCTCCACTCTTTTTGTAATATTTATTTTTGCTTGAAATTTTTTTTATCTTTTATGAAATATCATTATTTTTGTGATTACTTCAGTATATTGTTAAAATGAATAAGCGATCCTGTCAAAGTGGTGCTGCCAAACGAAAAGAAGCGTTGAAAGGAAAATAAAAAATAGCCAATTTACCAAAAATGACATAATTTCTACAATCAGTTTCGCCTCATCATTTGCATCTGTGAGCTCAACAAATTTTTATCCCCAGTGAAAACGATAATGATGAGAATATTACTGCTTCATCATCTACTGCAGGTGCAGGTAATATCAGAAGTACCACAGATGACAACTGCAACAAGCGCTTCTACTGTAACAAATCCATCAACTGATCCCACATTATGGCATACTATTGGTAATGAGCTACGTTCTTTTTTTGGGTTAGTAATGGTCCTTCATTCTGCTAGAATCATGATTGTGATTTCAAGAATTTCGAACACATTTATAACGCCCAGAAAAGCCGTATTCTGATTTTATCACGAATTGCACAATGGCGAATTTATTCTTCGTGAATGGTTATCATATTCACCGTTAACTGGTTCAATTTACTGCTTTGTGTGCAGGTTATTTTCAAGTACAATTTCGACTTTTTTTACAGCAGGTTTGGATGATTGGAAGCATACAGGTAGTCGAATTTCTGAACATCGCAATTGTATGCTCATTTACTACAGTCGTCAAAAGGAACTTGGCCAGGTGGACACAGCACTAAGAGCGACTTTACTGGCAAAACGTTCGGAAAGGAGTTGTTGCTATTGTAAAATTCTTGGTCACAAGAAGTTTGGCATTCCGTGGAAGTAATGAAATCATAGGTTCACAGCACAATGGCAATTATTTAGGAGGATTAGAGTAACTGAGCGAGTTTGATCCATTCCTCAAAGAGCACATTGAAAAACATGGAAATGCTGGAAAGGGACATCCTTTATACCTTTCTGTCAATATTTGTGAAGTACTTATCAACTTCATGGGTGATAAAGTGTTATCTGAAATCATTTTGGAAGTAAAAAAAGCGAAGTACTATTAATTGAGTGTTGACTCAACGCTAGATGATCCAAGATCAAGCTCCAATTGACCAATTTCTGCAATATATCCCAATTCATTGTCATGGAGCAGAATATTTAGCTGATTGTATATTAAGCTACTTGCAAGAGAAAGGCATTTCATTATCTGACTGTCGTGGTAATTCTCTTGATAATGCCTCAGATATGGCTGTACAATTTTCTGGTTTGCAGGCAAGAATCAAAGAAATTAATATATTGAGTGTTTTGGGACATTCTTTAAACCTTATTTGAGACAGGGCTGCAGGAGTATTCAGTTTGCAAGTTGTGTCATATTTTGATTTTGTGCAGCGATTATACACCATTTTTGCTGCATCAACTCATCGTTGTCAAGTTGATGGCTATTTCTATTGGCCGTGATCATAAGACTGTAAAACAACCATCTGGAACTCGATGATCTGCACGTGCCGATGCAATCACTGCTTTAAATGATAGCTTTGATGGGATTTAAACAGCTCTTGATTTTTTTTTTTATGAATGATACTAGAGAGACATCGGCCCGGCATGGCCAGGTGGTTAAGACGCTCGACTCGCAATCTGCGGGTCGCGGGTTCGCATCCCCGTCCCACCAAACATGCTCGCCCTTTCAGCCTTGGGGGGCGTTATAATGTGACGGTCAATCCCACTATTCGTTGGTAAAAGAGTAGCCCAAGAGTTGGCGGTGGGTGGTGATGATTAGCTGCCTTCCCTCTAGTCTTACACTGCTAAATTAGGGACGGCTAGCGCAGATAGCCCTCGTGTAGCTTTGCGCGAAATTCAAAAACAAACAAACAAACTAGAGAGACAATGCATGATGCTGAAAATCTCAATAAGAAAATGAACAAGTTTGAGGTAGTTTTCTTGACAATTTTATGGAAAGATATTCTTACCCGTTTTAATGAAACAAGTAAAATTCTGCAAAAAGAGGACTTAAACTTATCTGCCGCTGTCCGTATTCTTCAGTCGTTATTGTCATACATTCAGAACTTAAGAAACCAATTTGAAAAATATGAGTGCAAAACAAAAACAAAATGTCCCACCAGTGATTACAGTGGCATTAGTAAACGTAAATAAATAAATAAAGGAGTTGCCGCATTAGTATTTTGACTGAGCTGCTAGTGACACCATTCTTAAAAGTGTAGGTGTATTTTAGATAGTTGTAGAAATTATTATATTTGTTTATGAAGAACATAGGAAATATGCAATTTAATAGATGCAAGATAACATTTATTACGGCTTTTATTACTGGATAAGACAAAATACATGGATACAAAGTTTCACCGGTGTTTACCCGGCATCATCAGATAACTTCTGAGTATTTTATTATTCGAATCGATCGATGATACTCAATTCACGGCGTAAAACTCGAGAATCGTGATTTTTAAATACGAAGAACAGAGTACAAAAAAACACTTAATACTTCGGTACTTCTATTGTGTAACAACACCTAAGAACATGAAATTTATATAATTATAAATTATTTACAACTATCTCTTTACAATTATAAAACGACACAATATGCCAACTCATATTAAATAGATCACGAATTATTTTCATTAGAAATTATAGAAAGTCAGTTCTTTAAAACACTAACATTTAAAAGCCAAAAAGAGAAGCTACAAAAGTATTTTCCCTGGAGATCATTATCACGAGTATACACTTTTTGTTTTGCTTTTTCTTGAGAGTTCGGAATGTATTACACGCCTTTTATTAACATGCGATCTGTGTAGGCTAAGTCATTAAACTACAATACCACGCGAGTTTTCTTTTGTTGCTTTTCCGAATAAAAATGGTATCAATAATCAATATTAGTGTTAAAAATATCAATACAAAAGTGCTGAATTCCAATTAGAATTTCACACATTTAAGAGGAACTTCAGTAAATGACTGAAACATTCGTATTAATAAGTTTCTATATACAATGACTAAGTCTCAAAACTTTAAAAGCACCTTCAAAAACACGTTGTTTATAAAAGAAAAAAAACAAAAACAAAATTAAGTTCGGCGTTTTCCCTAGGTTCTGAAAGGGTGTGTCTTAAAGCACGTAGTTTTGAAACCTGTGGCCACGTAAATGAAACTTGCACATTTATATAGGATCATGACTAATTTGTATTCTTGGGAAAAATTAGTGTGAAACGCCCAAGTTCACATTAAGCCTAATAATTATAGAGAATACACCTATGTTGTTTGACTTTAAATGTATTTTCCTATAGTTATTTATCTGTATAACGTTTTAAATTCGAGGGTCGTAGTTTCATTTCGACTTTTCTCAATTGTACCCACTCGTGGTGGTCAATGTCGTACCACGTAAGCCCAGTATCATATCTGCCATTAATATTGGCGTACTGACAGTGATTATACCACCAACCACTTGAATAGTACATTGCGCAGTGAGTGCTACTCGCGTCATTATCGCGATCTTTGGTACTGAAAGGCATTTCATTGTGATCTTCCATTGCGTTACTGGCGTTTCCAACATAGCCACTAATTACCAGACGATAATTATCAGTTTCACTACCCACGTAAAATAAATTGTACTCGGCGAATTTATAGTGACCAAACGTATCCCACATGTCCACTCGTAAAGTGTAATTGTCCGTACTGGTTAAATGGTGGATGACCTCATTTCCTAGCCAGTGTTCTCCTGATTTGTTTCCGAATCCACGCTTATAGTCCTCCCAGGGTCGGTAAAAATCCTCTGATCCGTCTTCTCTTCTCTGGATCACTGTCCAACGTCCACCGTCTGTGACCATATCGCAATATGCAGGAAAGGCGGATTCTGTGCTTTTGGGGTGGATCAGATACACGCCACTCTTGTACTCTATTGGTTGCATGGTTATTTGTTTCATGGAACAATCTGAAGAAGAAGGATTAAATATAAATGAATAAGAAACGTTTTTCAACAATAAACTAACAATATGTACCAAGTCATCATTTTATTTTTATATATGTATAATGCACTGTAAACTCCAAAGTTACAGATTAAGATGAGTTCCAGCATGAGGCACACAAACCCACAAATATATACTAATTACTGTTACAGGAATTAAACTTGATAAAGAACTGTTGTTGCTATTCTCAGATATTAACACATAGTTATTCAAGGGCTATCTGCGCTAGCCATCTCTAATTTTGAACTAATAGACTAGAGAGAAGGCAGCTAGTCAACAGTACCCACCCCCAATTGTTGAGCTACTCTTGCCTCACAGAATATGGGATTTGACCGTTACCTTTATAACACCCCAAAGTGTGGAGTACATTTTTGTTGTTGTTGTTGTGAGCGTCGACCCACAGGCTAGCACGCTAACCATTGGGCCACGCTCTGCCTAATATGAAACTGTGATAACCTAAACGTTAAGTACTACCAAACAGAGCACTGACACGTATACAATTACAAATATGTGTAGTAAAGCTAGATAAATTAATAACATTACAACCCAAGAAAATATGACGATTTTATTGTAATGCAAATCACTATTACTGCTCTTTCTTTAACTTGTAAGCGGACACACAAAGCAGTCAATTATGGAAGCATAATAAGAGGTCATTAAAGATGCAAAAAATAAAAATATGGAAACGTACCTTGTGGTAATACATTCACGAATTTTGAAATTTCATGCTTTAAGTCGGAGAAGTAGGATTGTAGCTGAGGTATTGATGTTGAGATATTATGTATTTCTTTTTTCACCTCTTCATGGCGTTTTTCCCAAGTAGAAAGAAAAATGTTTTCCTTTTTTGTTTTGAACTGATTATACAAATCGTCTACTTTGAGCCGGTTATTATTAATTTGTGTTTGTAGTTTTCCAACCTTATGATCAATGTTTTCCAGCTTCATCTCCTTTATAAGCTCTTCGTTGCTGGCTTTACATTCTTGCAAAGAGCGATTGAGAATCTCATTTTGAACAGATAAGAGCTTAAAATGATCTCTTTGGACCTCTATTTTCAGAACAGAGTAATTCTTTTTCAATATTTTAAGTGTCTCGTAGTGATCATTCTGGTCTCCTCGAAGGATTTCGAAAGAAGATTGCACCTGAGCAAGGTTGAAGTCAGACTTGGAAACTTCTTTCTGGAGATCTCGTATGCTTTTGTCAAATCGATCTTCCATAACTTCGAGAGCTTCGAAAAGCTTAAGAGTGGAGGAATGAAGCTTATCAATTACCACCACCGCCTGTGAGATATTTCGGAGCTTGTTTTTAGTGTAGCGGATCTCATGGTCCAGGTCTTGACTTATGCCTTTTGACTCTTTCACCTGCTTAGCTAGAACGAGCTGCTGGTTTTTGAGATTTGTAGTTTGGGTTTCAAGGAAGTTTGTATTGTTAGAAACGTTGTTAAAGGTAGACTTCAGTGTTGTGAAGTTTTGTTTCATCCACTGAATCTCTCGTTGAGCTTTGGCTTGTTTATTCTCTATTGCCTTCATCGCTCGCTGCATCATGGTTACCTCCATCTTCATGAGTTTTTGGTGACGTGAACGGCGTGATTTTCCTGTTAAGAAAACAAAATTAATTACATGATAAATCGTATTTTTTATATTATTTTCTGGCCATATTTTCGCCTGTTCCACTAAATTCTATTACCAGACAATTGTTACTTGGAAGGTTGAATTTCACAAGCAACTGGTTTTTAATTAGAATTTTGTAACTGACTGAATATCTATCTGCTATGACCTCCAACCTTAATTACAACTAGTTACAATTCACAATCTACGTGACCTATTTTTCATTACAACTATAAATAATAGTTTTTATGTATTATTTCATTAAAGATAAATATATATGTATACATAAAACAGAACTAAATCGTGACAGAAGTGTTTTGTCGGTCTGTAATAACAATTCTGAATTGTTATATCTTTACCTAGTCTCGACATTTTAATACTTTGTAATTAAATTGAAAACTACGTACGTCTCAACCTACTAGATTTATTAATCACTAGGCGTATGTATTTAAGTATTACAGCTACGTATCAACATAGCCATGTCTATTTATTACGAAATTGAATTAATCTGCTTTTAAATGTTATCATGTGAGTATTGTTGTTCAATTTCGTTGATAAGAGTAAGCTATTTTTTAAAAATTTTATTGATTGTTGTTAATTGAAGATATTCACTTTCTAAACACCTCTCTGATATTTTTAAAGCTTTTTTTTTAAATTAGGAATTGCTTCACTGAACACTAGGTGGCGCCAATAACTTTATTATTAATGTACATAAAATAATGCCAGTAAATAATTCGTTTTTGTTTCGCTTTCATATAAATAAATATACATAAAGATATGTTTCGTATATTTTTAACAACTACATAAATGTTTACGAAAAAGACGTATTTACACTCTTACTTCCCTGTTTTTGAGGTTTTTACTTGTCAGATGGTTTTACATGCTTCGAGAAGGAAATGGATAATGGGAGTAAACATAATATTAAGGACATTTTTATCTTTCATTTTGTTATGATCTGTTAATGAGTTTCGAAAAATAAATTAGAGTAACACAAATATCTCACCACGCTTGTTGAAACGGTGTTCTTCTTCTGCATACAATCTATTGTCTTTTAAAATAATTTCCCTGGTAACTCTTTTCTTCTTTTCCTAAAATAAGAATAACTTAGTTTAAACGTTTCATCTTTAAACGTGTGAAATAAAACTGATAAAATAAAATGCTTAAGTTAGAGAGTCAACACATTACACAGGCCTGCGAATTTAAACTTCATAAAAGTTGTTTTGGTTTAAATAACGGATTTTCCATAATTCAGCTACGCAGATTTTGAAAATAATATTCATTTTCTTTCTATCACGTAAAGATTTTTTTACAAGTCGGGAAGAAAAAACTCTTACTTATCACAAATAATTATTTCGTTTACCACAATGAACATTTTTTATTATTATGTTTGGGTTCTAAAACAATTGGTCAAGTGAAATCTATATATAGCCAGTGGTTGTCAACATTTTAAGCATAACAAAATGTGACCCGATTTCGAGGAAAATTATTCACTTATGTAAAAGTACATATGACGTTTTGTGAAAAATTTGTTCGTGATAGAGAAAAATGGATATCATTTTCGGATTCAGCGTACAGAAATTACCGTAGAACATGTAAAAATTTCAAGACAATAAATCCATTGCAGGCGTGTGTTATCAGTTTACTTTAGTACGTACGGTTCTTGATTATTTTTTTAAAAACAATTATAACAATTTGTACATGTTAACTTACTCTTAGGAGCAAAAAGAAAATGAAAAACAATATATTTCCATATTGCAATTCGTTTAAAAATGCTAAGATGAACGATGTATGATATTTCTCATGTATAATTTCTAGAACATAATTTGTTCGAAGTTTCCACTGTTAGTTACATTTAAATCGTTATCGTTCTTGAAATATTTCGCAAGGAACATTTCTATAGTATTTGTTCGTATTGAAGCTAATAAAAAAACAGAAAGGATTGGGTGCTAAACATGTTAACATACGTTTTATGACATGTTATAATTGGATACACCTATACGAGATTGGGAAAATAATTCCAAATCTAGATTCATGAGACAGCGAAGAGAAAACACAACACGATATACTAGAACTTCCATACCTGGGTTGAAGAAGCTCGGTCATGGTTAGCTGCTTGAATCGCTAGTTCATCTTTAAGTGAGGTGACCTGTGAAAAAGAAGAAACGGGGAATAGTCAGTGATGGGACTTAAAAACAAAAATAAATGCAGTTTGCACCAATCTAGAATCTGAAACATTGTATCTAACGCAGCTACTTCTGTTATGCTTTAATGAAAAAAAAAAGTTTGATTTTTGACTTTGGACAATTTAACAGGCCTCTCACGAGCCAGTGGGGAAATTTTTTTTGAAAAAAAACAAACAAAAAAAAACTATTCAATCCGGTTTTTTATAATTTGAATTGAAATTTTTTGGACATTTTTATTGGCTAAAAGGAAGGCATTTCCCGCACTATTTTAGCTTTGGGGCTGCAAAAAGTGAGTTCAAGTGGTAAGGTGACTGAAATCCGTCAGTGCATCACGAGCTTAACGGCCAAGCACAAGAAGAATCATGGAAATCTCCAAATGACACACAGAGGTATTCAGAAACCGTTTAGAACCACCTTGGTAGATATTGTGCAGTACAATATTATGTCTGTAGCTGCTTTCAAAGTGTTCCTGTCTGCTCATCATACTGCTGATTAACGTGATGCTTCGACCTTCCCTACCGGAATCGTAGGTGAAATCTGATGTATCTCAACTGAAAGCTAAAAAGGTGATAGCAGAAGCATAAAAGGTTGGCAATTGCTTAATTAATGATGCTGAGAATGTGGCTTTATTGATATCTACTGAATATACTCCCAGCAGGTAGACTTTAGTGCTAGCTAGTATGGGGATTTGAGGATGCTATATTTCACTTAAAAAATTATCAATTAACAAACGAAAACTTGTGTCGAAAAGATACGTCCAAAATCACCCTCTTTGGGAGTTTTCGGATTGAACTTACTTTTAATATTCAATAAATTGTAGTGTAAAGACACCACTTGGCTCCTGAGGGACGTGTTAATAATCGCAGAAACTTATCTATTTAGTCAGAATCTTCTGTGAACCTTATCAGTCTGAATTAAGGTTAGTACTAGTCAGCTCTCTGCATGCAGTCTATATTAGTTTCCGGCTAAAGGACGTCTTCTCTTCCTATCCATAAAAGTTATAACCCCTGAACAGTATCTGAAACTTTAATACAACTGACATGTTTAAACTTATAAGAGTCTATAAAACCAAACGCTTGCTTAACTTTGAATATTTGAAATAGTTTCAGAAGAAAATGCCATAGTTTCAACAATACTCTTTAGCAAATTCCAAAGTGAAAAAATCTAATGGCTATGAGTAAAAATATTTCTCTGTATTTTACAGAGAGGATCAGAAAATCAGTTTACATTAGGAATTCCAGTTATTTTATTGTATTTGCATACAAAGCTCGTAATTGCATCATCGTTACTAAATGAGTAGCTTGAGGTGGTGTTAAATACCAAAACCTAAAAACATTTTTTTTTTCAAAAATCGTTAATGTAGAATGTTTGTCAACTTAGATAAAAGAGTTGTGATATCGATATAGCTTTGAAAAACTTACGCAGGTCTTGAGGCAAACTAGACAGAATCCTCAATAGCCACGGGACTTCATATTATTTTAGGCAGGATTAGAGTAAATTAATCTATGAGACTTTCGTTGAATTTTTTTTATTAGCTATATTTTTGCGCACCAGTAATACCAACTATGGGGCCCGCGTATACTCGATTCGATTTTATTATTCATCAGCCTACCTTAAAATTGAAATTATTTTAGGCAGGATTAAAGTAAATTAATCTGTGGGACCTTGGGCGTGATCAAATACATCAATCTAAAGTGTCTGACCTCCTGAGTCCAAAACTGTAATTAGATCTCGAATCGGTCAAGATATGACGGAGTTATGAGCTAAAAGTTTGTGCTTGAAAAACAGCAACTCAGATCCGTTCAATGGGCCACTCGGCCCATGCTAAAAACATTCAGTTGGGAAAAAAACCTCAAAGTTTGAAAGTTATTAAATAATCTGAATATCCAAACAATGATGAAGGCAATTTTGTATGTCATGTAGGAAACGTTAATTAATAACTACATATTTCAGAGAAAATGAAAAACAAATATTGCGAATAAGAGTTTCGGTATAAACAGCAGCTGACATTGAAACAGTAGTTAATCCGTAATTTGACGTTTCACTTGTCAAGACAGTTGCTCTGTAATGCGATTCATTTCAACATTACATTTAAAATGGTTATATTTTAATTATAATACCTAGTCATTTATTGTACGGTTCAGGTATTCGTCTAATTTCTTAGTTATTATTTTTCATCTTCATAAACATTAGATTTTGGCTGTACTATTGGTACTATCCTGCTACTCGACTCTACACCAAACAGTAACATGTATTGCAGTAATTTTTCTCAGATATCAGGGTCAGCGGTAAGTTTATGGACTTACAATGGAAAAATCCGGGTTTCGATTCTTCGCGATGGGTATAAAGCAGGTAGCCCATTGTGTAGAGTTGCACTATGAAAACAACATTTGTGGGAATTGTGTAAAGTTTTGTTTATACACGGTTATACCAACAGTACGTTGTTCAACGAACATAAATCTATGAGAGTCCTTGAAAGTAACAACTAGTGGTTATTATATAAGTAGGGCATACTTAGTTCTTTCTTTAATGCTGCTTTTTATTAACAGTATTGATTAGAATGATTAATATGACTAATTTTATTATTTTTATGTTGTTTTATTTCTGTACTTATAATGTAGAGATTATTTTGCATTGTTAGCTTAGCATATAAATTTATAACTAACCAAGTCTTATAAGCTAGCTGAATCTAGTGAGATATTATTGGGTTTACGGCCGAAAATATTGCTAACAGTGAAAGTACCCAAATGATAAAACAACGCATTCTAATCTCTATAAGTAAGAACAGTGTATTTACTTAGATGTACTTATTATTGGGTTTATTTTTATTTTTTACCTAAATAGCTCGCTGTGATGGAAATTAACACTAATAGAAAAACGTAAAGAGTAACAGTCACAATTTTTTGATTTTTCTGAAGTTCTTGAACCAGTTCGTCAAATTTGATATATTTGAAGCTTGTACTGATGTTTTAATTTGAAACAGATAAATCTAATTACAGCTTCAATAGAAAGACTACATTGTTATCAGTCATACAGAGGTTGAGTACTGTAGATTAAAACGAGTTTAGTGTTTCACCACGTAGTTCCAGCCTATGTTGCCACGACAGGTTATACATCCTAAATATAACGCCGCAGCACAGATTCTATTGCAAAAGTCTTCGTAGTAAGTCTGTAATGTCCAAAGCACACCATTTCTACATGCAGGTTTCCACAAGCCATCTGGTGAACGAGGACGATAGTGTCCAAGTGCGAACTGTTACCTAGGGCACATAGACTGCTTTTGGATCCTCACCTATTACAAGCCCTTTCTCATCATGGTTATGGTAGAACTTGTTGGAGGTCTTTTTCTAGGTGGTCTTGGTACCCCAAGTTGACCCATATTCATTTGTTTTCCAATGCCATTAAGTTCAAAGAATATTCCTGTCTTAGAACTTCTAAGCTCTTGATCTGAACATATTTTTATGATCTGAGCCTATGAATATTGTATGTCTGAAAGGATTGCTACGAATATTTCCCAAAAGCAAACAATGTTTGGTGGTGCAAAAAGGCAAACATGTCAAGGTGTACTTGTGATAAATGACGTTTCACTGCGAGTATTTTATAATTGCTGTGTTTGTCACGTAACTTGCTGATTTGCATATCGAAATCCTTTTAATATAACGTACTGAAGCCTCTGTATAACCAGTTTGAACACGAAGCACTTATTTTTGAAATAAAGAAACGACCTTCAAAGATAACGTTATGCTGATATAAGAAATACTATAGTGTCATTACATTTTTTAATGCTCTCTTACTTACAAGTGATACTCTCGTATACTAGATGAATATAGCCTCAATATGATAAAGCTAGCATTTCTCTTAAAATACACGACTAACAGGTTTCAAAACAATAAGTCACGTTTTGTATGAATTTGGCTAAGAGTTACACTTTGACTGAGTTTCTTGAATATTGGTTTGTTCTGAATTTCGCGCAAAGCTACACGAGGGCTATCTGCGCTAGCTGCCTCTAATTTAGCAGTGAAAGACTAGAGGGAAGGCAGTTAATCAACACCACCCACCGCCAACTTTGGGCTACTCTTTACCAACGAATAGTGGGATTGACCATCATGTTATAACGCCCCCACGGCTGAAAGAGCGAGCATGTTTGATGGGATAGGGATTCAAACCCGCGACCCTCAGATTGCGAGTCAAACGCCCCTAACCACCTGGCCATGCCGGGTCCGTTTCTTGAATAATACAGATTATTATTTTTTAACCACAGGTAAATCTGTTTTAGCTCTGGGATGCAACGTACTGTTCTATTTAAAAAAACGTAAACGTTTTAACACATACGAACACGTTTGATTTAATAGCTATAGCATGAAACCTTGTGCATATGTTTGTTTAGTTTCAGATAAAACAAACATATAAACTAGAAACTTTACTTATACTCATTTTACCAGTGGCAACATACAATACATCACATGGAGCATCAATAACATTTAAACTCTGTCAGGCATCACCTGTTAGTGGGGCACCTACATAATTAGTAGTTTTATTGTCAGTAAAACGAACGTGTTTTGTTTAATAATTTTTTATGTTCCACTAAATAACGTTTATCTCGGCATAAGTGATGAAACAACAAGAGATAAAAATCTGAAGGATAAAGTACTGTTCTATAGATTTTAATGATGCGAAAATTAAGTTTTAGTTAGGGAGAGAACTTCAAAAATATGCACGTTAGAAATAGCAATAATTGTTGTTGTTCGATCAGTGCCAGATATTCTATCGAAAATTTTCGGGTAATGAAGACATCGAAAAGTTTATGGTTCTTATTTGTTACAATTCTATTATTTTTCACGTGATTAGTTCTATAAGCTGAGAGATATATAACCAACTGAGATCAACAGACACATATAAAAACATACGAACTTGTATTCACGTGGCAGTACGGTGACACGCATCCAGAAAACATGCCCAGACA